CGATATTGACTACACGCGCTGCCCGTCACATCGTTTTCAGCGAGGACAAACGTACCTGTTGCATTGACATACCTCGGAGCACGCTGTGCGTTTGGCACTCGCAGTGCGGCCACACCATTGCACAACCCATCGCCTTTCTTTCCCTTGAGGGTGAAGAGTGCCCATCGACATGGGATTTGGATTTGCACACCTCTCACAGGATATCCGCGACACCTTTTGGACGAGTGCCAGCGTCAAAATTCGTATGAATTCGTCCGTTCGCAACGTTTCAGCACCGAGACGATTGGTTTGCCGATCAATGGACGATATGACCCTTACATGAATGCGAATTTCCTTGGCACAAGTCATGTCGAAAGCCACGACTAGGACGTAGCTGACATGGGATCGTGCTTCGTTTGCGGTGTCGTGGAAACGCATTGTGCAATCGGCTTCAAGCCGACGACATGACGGAGGACAAGAGGATTTCGGTGGAGCCGATCGGGCCAAACACGCCGTGAAGACTTACCTCGGTGTGCAGTCGACGTGGATCACATACAGCTACGCATCGCTCAGGGAAATCGCTTGCGCTTTTGCGATCATGTCAACCGCAGCCCACAAGGGTTGTCGCCAACTTCGTTGTTGTGCTGGTCGAGTGCTAAAAGGAAGGAGCGAATGCCGATCCGAGAAATTGTCAAAAATCGTGAACAAATACGCGAACAGGATGGACAACGAGTTGGCCAACCGAGCTCTTGCGGCGCGAGCGAACCAAGGCATTCTCCGCGACGTGATAAACCAGAAGAAAACAATATGGATCATTCGTGCATGGCGAAAATGTGCCGGCATTTATCGATGTCGTACCGCGTCGTAATAAAGAATAGACGGCGCAGGTGGTTTTTCCATGTCAAAATGTCGACCGGTATTGAAAATGGACAGGTGGAAACTCGGACTCGTAAACTAATACGGAGCTATGGAAGGGGGAGAATCATATGCGTAGTCATGCGATCAAACCGTGCACAACAATTCAATCATGCACAAACCAACGAGAAGAAAAGTTTCAAAACAGCTTCAGGGGCTGTACCACAATACAAGTGCTTCGTCGTCGGTGTTCGAGGTGGGGCATGGGCATTGCTCGGGTGTGTGGGGATTGCCGAACGACGTGTGCGTGCAAAAGGTGAAAAATAGTTACCTTGCCAATGCCCCTTCGCACCTTGACGTGAGTACGAGTCGATTCACGGCCGCACCAAAACGTGACCTGACATAAAATCGATTCCTGTGCATTTTCCAAATGTCACGCAGCACACACCTGCCATCTAAATGCGAATGATTCGGGATGCTCACTCGTTCGACGACCCTCCCCCTATATGGATTTCCAAATCGAGGAAGCACGGGCTGACGTTCTGGAATGCTGCATCGACTGTAGCTCTCACCCAAATAGCTTTGCCGTTGGATCGATTTGCACCCAGGGCACGACGGTACCATACACGTGCGCGTCAAGTCATCGAGCACAGTCACTACAAGCACTGCATCTTACCTCAGTTTCCCATGTGAAAACGAGTGGAATCTACGTAGGAAATGGCCAATCTGACTCAAGACAAGCTCCGTGCGCTTGCGCAATACGATCTTCTGCACCGTGGCGAGCCCAGAGCACCCATTGCTGGACATGTGTGCCTTGCGAGAGTCTCATGCACGCCACAGCAAACATGGCCACAACCGCCTATTCTTTCGTCCTGGTTGGAAGAAATCGCAGTCGTGTTTGGTCATCGTGGAAAATTGTGTGCGAGATTCAATCAAAGATGCAACAAATCCCACCGAATCTTGACTTTGGCATAATCTCTGTATACATAACGACTAAATGAGGGTCTCCGAGCAGCGGTCGCCCCCAACGTGCGTCATGACAGCACACCAAACAGAAACTTTTAGCTCGTTCGTTCAAGCACACATGTTGCACGCAAGAGTGAGCTTGCATCCAGCGCAATGGAATGGACTGCTCGCCGCATGAAAATTCGTGAAACTTGATATTGCACTCCAATCTGGAGCGAATGGATAAGTACCATTCTACCCCTGGACCCCCCCCAAGATGCAGTCCAAGGGCACAGTTTCCTTGGATAGTATGCCGGACAATACTATGGGCGAGTGGCCGTGAGCAGCTGTCTGACTAGAGCTCAGGCCTCATTAAGGTGGAAATCTATACTATGGCCATTTGGTTCCTCGATGATGTCGGCCACTGTCAAATCACCATGGCGGACATGGGCCCTTGCACATAATGTTTCCGACGGAATTTCGCGATGGTCGTCAAGACGACAGCATTTGCCCTCGGTGTCGCAGGAACAACAACAGGATGGACACATTCCGAGAGGTTTTCGTGGCGTGAAAACCAAACCTCCTTCGGGTGTCACTCGGTTTCCCTCGGACGGGCACACCACATCCAAATCTCGACATCATGCCACCAATGGAGAGATGGGTTTACCACGCCGTACAAGCGATTCAGAAGCAGGTAGAGACATCCGCTCAAGGTATAAACCCACAACCAAATCTAGCAGTCCTTGAAACTGGGTTGCCGGTCTGTTTAGGTGGCGGTGTCTGTTGAATATATCGACGTGTTGTGTAAAAGTCGCGACTCGACCCATCGGGCTCCGTCGCGAAAGTGACTGATGCATGCGAAACCCAGGAGCAAATGATTCTCTTTGACGGGGATGCTGCTGCCAACCGGGAAGCTCCCGCGATTGTGGCCACGCTTGCCAACTAAGTTGGCTAGGACAAGGAAACGCAGTGGATCGTTGATGCTGAGAATATTCAGTGCGGCATAAACGCATATTGCGTGGGTTGCGACTTGGATATCTCCCCTTTTTTGGTCACACTTTTTTAGGTCACCATTGCCACGTTCTGTACGAACATGGACGACCCTGTGCGACTCGTGTGGCGCTCCCGTCCAGGACACACTTGACCCCAGCGACGGACATATACGGCGCTGACCATGTCCCGACAGCTGAGTTTGAAGTCGACCTCTGCGGTGCGCACAACCCGTGCAATTTTGCGTAAATGGTATTACAGAGCAACCCCTACTTTCCATGCACTCCATTTTGTAAACTCGTCGAGCGCGGAAGCTGGCGTTTAATGCATTCTCGATTCTTTTACTCCAGGTCTGCAAATAGATCCTGTTCGTCGTCTTCGGCGGCGGCAGGGGCAGCGGCGGCGACTACCTGCTTGACTTTGTCTTCTGGCTGCAAAAAGTTCTATGCAAGCACCAGACATCTAAGTTCATCACCCTTCAAACGTTTCAATGCAATGCGTCTTCCGTCACGACCAACCTCGGCCGCTTGGGGGCTTATGTCGCATGACGGGTCGTCACGCGTACTCAAAAGTGTTACGTGATGCTGTACAAGCAGCTGCCATACAGGAGCGTCCCCTGGAGCAAACTCACTTTTCAACCGGTGCAAAAACTCGTTGAACAACGTCGTCCGGTGAATCTAGGCGAAATCGCGTCAATTGCAAGTTATTGTTGACGAAAGCTTGAATATCGTCCCGAAAAACAAACAGATCAACCAGGACAAAAACCCAAATCCACAAATTCGAAACACATGGCATGGATTGGCAGACTCTACCTCTGGGCTTCGCCGGCGAAAGTAACGCAAGCACTCGAGGCCCTTGGAATGGTACCCCACCGCGTCTTGGCGAAAAAATTCCAAGATTTGCAGCTCCATCCCCAAAACCGCTACATTACACACCTCCGTAAGTTTGCGTTGGTCCAACGAGTTGCATGATCAGTGAAAGTTGAATGGCAGAGAATAAATACGATTGGAATTGATCCTACCGAGCTGCGATTTGGCCAACTGTTTGGTGGAAAGAAGTGCTTCAAAGTCCGAAATAGGGTTCATCGACCCGACCTCCGTCACGTCTTCGCCCAGCAATTCCTTTGTTCCACAACCATTAGTTCGAATTATCTTGAACATTCCACTTACATCCAAGTCCAAGTCGCCATCGTCATCCCCACCGCCGTCGTTGGACTCCGCCGGAATCGCAGATATATCGGTCCCTCTCTTTGCAGCAGCAGCCACTTTCGCATCGCCTTTGATATCGCTCCAAAACGATTTCTTCTTGTTATCCTTGGCTGTTGCAGCTTCTTTCAGCTGAAACGCCCTGTCAAATGCTTGGATGGCAGGTAACGCTGGTTCAAACAGCGAGCGGTCTTCCCGCAGATACCTACATGATAAGTTGGAAGTCGCAACGATATTCGTTAAACGACTGAAAGTGGGGACGTCACATCTATACCGTTCAACAAATGGAGGTAGCGGCGCCAAGGGAGCGTTTGGGTCCATCGCGCGCTGGGCAATCGTATCGTACAAGCGTTGAAGCGCAGGGTTGAATGCATGCAACGTAGACGCAGGACGACTGAGCTGGTCGACCAACGCGTCGGCAGCCGCGAATTGCTCTAGTGGGTACCATCAGTACTAGGCAGGATGACATACAGGAAAAGCTAAGGGAAAAATTGTAGACTTCAAAGCGAAGTTGAGGATTCTTATGGAGTTCCCAGACGACAGACAGAAGGACAGAAGGACACCATTTCAAATTAATTTTGTAGATTTGTATCATCACGCAGCATTCAAGAACACATTACGAAATCTTGCGCGAAGCAAACCCCCAAAAACGATCCAGATGAGGCAATTACCTGCTGTGGGCTGAATTTTTGGGCTTGTCACAAGGGATGGAAACTCATACGGACGAAGATCTTCTTCGAACGGCAATTGCTGCATCCATAAGCAGTGCAGTCGAGGCTCTTCGACATCTGCATATCAAATATCTCAGTGTACAATCAATCATTGATCGCATTTCACTTGGGAGTATCGTACTGGGAAAGAGCACCACTATTTTTGGGGCTGCATTGGCAGCTCGCACAAACCGAGCTAAGGCAAACTTGCCTTCATTGTGCATGGCAGTGCTGAGCGCATGCAGCGCTTCCTGCGCTTTCGGCTTGGTAAAGTCGCCGAACACAGCATCCGTTCCCGTCATGCCCAGACCATCTACATCAAACAGACAGCTCACCATCTTCGCCTGTTTGGTCTCAAGCATGCAATGTTTGTAGACTTTAAATCCACGTTTAGACCATTCTCGAATTCAACGTACGTTTCCATTGCGACTTGTCCACAAATCCAAGTACCTTCAGCCCGCGCGTCGTGAGGAGCTTCAACGCTGCTTGATCGGCTGTCGAACAAGGAATCTACGCATTGAGCACTGCGTGAGATTCAAAACGATAACATTTTCCGTCAGTTTCTACAACGTACCATTTCTGAACCGTACTTGTACGCTTTGATGCGTCGCTCCGGCGGCACCTCGTCGTCGGGTTGGGCCTGTTAGTTGGTGATATAACGTCAGTGGACTGCAACAGGGGGAATAAGGAACACTTTCTTTCTGAAAGTCGTATTGTAGGAGGAACACAACGAAAAGCACAAAATTTATCAACACCCTCGCACGATCCAGCTCATATCCAGCAGCATCGACGACACAAACCTGAGTTATATGCATCTCATGATAGGCATGGAAATATCGATTGAATTGAGAGGACAAGCAATTACAAACTGGGGACGTACCGTGGCAAAGTAGCTGCGCTCCATGCGAACTTTTCCTGGCACGTCGTCCTCGGCAAACGTGGAACTCTTCTTTGCGACTTGCGATTCTTTTTGTAGCGACGGGATCGTCGCTTCCAGAACTTTGCCAAATACGTACACAGGAATGAAAAGGTTTTCGCCAAATTCTAAGTTCCCGCGCATTTTCGTCGTCTAATAACAATTCATGTCTGAGCTAGAGACACATTCTTCGACCTTGATGAAAGTTTCAGGGCATTGATCAATCCAATTGAAGAAGAAATGGTTGGCACTTCATCATCGTCAGCACATCACTGAGGTTTGCCCATGAGGCCAAAATTGGAGCGAAGAGATTCGTCACTGCCATTGCAAATATGCAATAAGAACAGCGATAATATACACCCAAAAGTACAATGACTTGAACAGAAACCTACTCACTTGAAGCACGGGTTTGAGTTTGCTTTGGGCGAGGAAATCCATCCGTTTCGACACGGACTGGACTTCTCCTTGGACTTCCGTCGCAATCGAATGCAGCATCTTTTCATTCTCCGACTATAAGGCACGACATTGCAAATCAGAATGTGATGGGTTGAAGCTTCGAGCCATCACTCACAAAGGTGTGTTACGACCTCATATCAATTCGTCATACATGGTTATTAAACTCCAAATACCTTGATGAATGATGCGGCTACAGCTTCATCCTTTACCCCGTCAGGCTGTTCATGCTTCGTATCCAATCCAAAGTCGATGCCACTGCAGTAAAGTGGTTGGTTAGAATGAAGTCGAACGACCTGCTTTCGAGTACGCCAGGGGAATATTTAGCAGGAATGCCAAGCATTCTCTCGTTGTGGTGATCATTATCTCAGCAAAGCTGGAAAGGACGTGTTTGGCGCGCTGGCAGTCAACCCGCAACGTGTAGTACAAAATCACAGGCATCAAACAAACAAATTCCCAAGGTAGATCGGACGGCAGTGTCGCCATGACAAAGACAGCACTTCGTGTTTCCATGTAGGTTCGTACATGATTTGAAGGTGTACTTCGAGGTTTTGCATCATCGTGCACACGACCTCCATGTCTGACGGGTTGTTTATGGGAGTGGCGGCGTCCGTGATCACGACGAGGCGTTTGTCGTACTTTTTGTTGTCTGTGCGACGAATGACCAAGTCAAGGGCAACGATGATTCCGTCAAGAACGTCTGCAGGTGTCTCTACAGATGCCGCTTCCATGGCTTGGAGCTGCTTCGCCAGATCGAATGTCACAGGAGCAATTGAGCTCAGGACTGTCACGTTTTTGTAGTTGTTGCCATCGTCAGAGTTCAGCTGGTTGTCAGTCCCTTCGGTCCCGTACATGACAATCCCCACTTCGTCGTTCTTTCGAAACAACAACAATTGGTTAACGATGCCTTGGATAGCTTTCTTTGCGGCATCAAACCGGCTACCAACATCCACTTTTCGAGTGATTTCCCCAAGAGGACTTCTCATTGCAACGCTTGCGTCCAACACGATCATAATGGCTTCCTAATCCACGTATCCTCATCAACCATCTTCACCTCCATAGACGTGAACAACCTTGGTGCGCGACATGGCGTCAATAACATCCGTCAATCGTTGGGCAATCCAAAGGGAACGACTTCCTCGTAAACCCGATGTTGCACTTATGTATTTGTACAGGAAATATTTATCAAAGGCAAGATATCGATGACCTGACTAGATATTGAAGAATTTTAATATTTACATACGAAATTCAACTACTATTTCTATTTAATTCAACAACAACTTCGAAATGAGTTTCTCCAAGTTAGTAGTCCAGCTACTACATTATCTTCTGTGTACCAAGTGTCTGTGGCAAAAATGTTGAAGAAAAATCCATTACGCCAGGCTCTCGAAAAAGAAGCCATAGCTTTAACTGGATTAACAGTTAAGTGTGCACCGGTTGCAAAAAAATGTCTTACAGTTTGTATTGACCGCCTAGATATCGTATCCCTCCAAAAAATACACCGGTTGAGAAAAATATACTAAAGTTTGTATTGACCTCCTAGATTTTATATCAATCCAAAAATACAAAGACATTTTATTGAAGTGTTACACCTACGCTTTCATAGGATTCAAGAGCCATACAGGAATGCAATGGCACTCTGATGCACTACTGGATTGCAATGAACATTAAACAATGACAAGTCCTGTATGCATGCATCGATTTGCATATGAGGAAGCTTGTAGTCGCTTTTCCCCTTGTTTTCCCTTGTTTTATCCATCACCTTTTGCTAAGTGTTGTAGATCTTGGATAACGTATCAATAGGCAGCTCATAAATATGCTGTTTACACCATCATTAAGCTCCTCGATTGCAAAGTACTGTGCGAGTAAACTTATGATTTTGTACCCTTTAAACAGAGTTAAAATGCCCTGAATCTAGAACTTTTAAGTCTGGGTCTATGGGGGGGTTGGTTGGCGGCTTCTACACAATAACGTCAGGTTGTAGCAGGCGTTACGAAGTCACAAAGTTATGCGGACTTGCATTGTTTTGCTGCAAGTACATATATAATTTAGATGGATCTCCCAAAGAATATTGCACGGTCAACAATATTAATAGTCATGTCCTGTCCCGACAAACTTCAGCGATTACCGTTAGAGGCTCTGTTATTACAGCACCTTTTGGACGCTTTTTCCTGTCTCCCATTGCAGGCACTTTTCCTATTAAAGGCCAGACATCCTACTTGCCGGCGAAAAAAACGCACGTCTAGTTGAAATCGTATCTTAGTCGAGCCCGTCGTCGCCAAAACATCACGTTCTTCAAGAGCCGTTTCAACTTGAGTTTGCGGTCGGCCCAAGTACAACTTTGGGTGCATGAAATTTCTTCTTTACAGTCGTTAAATGGAATCAACATGAATATATTGGTGCATATCGGAACAGGTAGCTCGATTAGACGCCTGTAAAACATGAGATGATGCACGTTGGACACGGGAGCGCTTGTTTACTTCACTAAGTTAGGGCTCGGAGAAGCTCGACTTCGATTTGAGTCGCGTTTCTTCCTTCACGTGGCGGACAATGGCGGTCTTGGACCCTCCACACTGGCCGATATAGTGCGCAGTGCTTAACGAGCCTGCAAGGGTATTGAACGTATGGCTCGTTCGATGTCGATTACTTAGTCCCGAATTCCCTAAGGATGTTAATTTGTGAGAATTTATAGTTTTAGGAACACATAATTAGTGCACGCATTACAAGACAATAAAGGTTTACCTCTTAGTTTGAGTGGAGGTCAGCAGCATCGCCGCACCACCAAGCGAAGCTTGTCCTCACTTCCTCACGCGTGAAACAGTCTTTCAGTTCCACGCGAATGTTTGAGCAGTTGATTTGTATGCTCCACGAGGCAGTTGGGCGTCTTTGCACTGTGTGCCAACAAAGCCTAGTAGATGGCACGCCACTCGTACTGGGAAAGAGGGAATGCAACGCCCACCTTGTCTTCGAGTTCAATCTGAATCAAGGTGTCTAATTGGTCACATATCTACG